CAACCACATCTTTCGTACTTGTATTTCTGCACTATGTCGTTATCAAAAGATGTTTTTGTCAAACAGTCAAACTATTTTATAATCTCTAATTAGTGAATCATCTGTATTCAACTATTCATTGCGTTCTGTTGAGGTTAATTCCTTTCCTGTAAAAGGATGTTAAAGAGTGATTTTTATGGGTTAGGAATTTGATTGGTGGGCGTTCGGATGTTGAAGGGAAGCCTGTCGAAAGTTCAAATGGCTACGGATTGCAAATTGCAATTTCAAATGTGAATTACTTCCATGGTTGGGTGATAAAATTAGGTAAAATTTTGATTTACCATGATTAGGTGATGTCATGGTTTAGTGAGATACTCAGTTTGAAAATGTTTTTGAATGTAGAAGATGCCAATAGGATCTCTTCGGGCTGTGCCACAGAAGGTTGTTTTTCTGGTTCGGACGCAAGTTTGGCAGATGGCACAGAGTGCTTCTATGGAATCTCATTTGAACGTAAATTGTCAGTGGGGAATGATTTTATTTTTACATTTGATCCTTGTCTTTTAGTGACATTTTGTTTTTTCTGTGGTGCTTTCTTTTTCATCAATTCTTGAGCTAGACTATGTTGAGTGCGAATCATGTTCCATATCTAAAACAAATCAGAAATTATTTTCAAATTTAGTGAATTTAGATTAGACTCTTAAAACTACGAGTTTTTTCCCCTATCCCCTCCCACCACAAGAAAGGGTATAAGAGCTCGTCGAGTAAATAGATAGGAACTATGGGCAACTGTTTTGTCGTTTGCAAAAACAATCTTATTTGAAAGGTACAGGAGATTTGAAAAGGATGGAGATTCAACATTGACATTGTAGGAATAGCCCATTCAATCCTTGTGTATATTTTTTATGGGATAAGTTTCATTCAAGGAATAATTTGTGAACCGCCCAATTGACATTTCACAGCTACTAAATCAATAGTGACCCTTATCTACAATGTCTAACCCAAAGAACTCAAGGCTCGGGATAATGCACGAGCCTGATATCTAAGGGGCTTGACTTTTCTGGTTTGGCATCTTGGTGAAGGAAATACGGAATTTGGAACCAAATCTTTAGTTTGACAATTTAAATCCCGTTCATATTTTGGACTATTCTAATGGGACATTTCAAGTTTTGCCAAAAGTTAGCTGTATATATTAACTTTCACGAACCACGTATAGCTCAAACTCAAGTTTGAGTTGCTTAGGGGTAATTTGGTTGGTGATGTGAGATATACAAGGATATCAGGGATTGAGATATTCCATGAGATTAGTTATTTCACTTTTTATATGGGATAACTAATTCCATCATTTTCATATAAAATGATTTTGGAGACCGAATAATACCCATAATTAAGCGCGGGATAAAATTGTTATCTCTTATCCCAACATCCAAACTACCCCTTAGAGGTGTGGTATTATATTGCATATCAGTAACTTACAAGCATGTGAGGATCTTGGTTGCATAGCATTAGCACTTATGTTTTACTTCTATTATTGTACTATTATTGGTATTTTGTTTGTTATAACGTCTCATGTACTTATAACTTGGTGTCTGCTCCAATTTTACTTGTGTGAGCTTCCTTATATTGTCCAAACTTAAATAAAGGAGGAGGATCACGGTAGTCTGATAGCTATTGCAAAACTAACCAATTCATAATGGATCCTCATAATATGGATAAATAGTTAGTGAAGATTCATATATATAGCACACCCAACTTGTTTGAAAGCATAGTTATTGTTAATTTGTTGCTGGTGTTCGGGCTAGTTTGTACCTTAACTAATTCAACTAGACACTAATTACTACCTGGTAGCAACCCCTAAGTATCGAGTAATTACATCCATCAAAACTTAGATATATACAAAGAAATCACCGAGTGTATCGAGTAATTATTTCCAGGTTACTACGTTTTTGAATCGCTTATAGTAACAAGAAAATTTAGTAGGTCCCAAGCAGAAGATTTTATTCTAAAGATGTAGTGCTGTCACAACGACTTATAGGATGTGCGGTTATGCCATGCATCGGAAGATTGAAGTATTCAACTATCAAAAGAGATGTTTACCCTTCTCAAACAGTAGTGGTGTACATGGATCGAGTTGGTTCGATTTTTATTAAAATCAAATCAAATCAATTATATCGATTTGGATTGGTTCAGTTTTGTCGGATTTTTTAGGTTTTTCGCGTTTTTTTTGTTACATAAATAATATGTCAATCTTACTTTGATAATTTTTTATAAGTAAATATATGTTTAATAAAAATTAAAAAATTGACAAACATATTATATATTAAAATATTCTTATGGGAGAATTTTCTTAGTAACATATGATAGTATTTCTTTTAGTTGTGTGACAATAAATTTTCGTTGATGTAGATCTTCAAAGTTAACCGAATTTAATAATTAAACATAAAAAACAATGCGATACCTAAATAATGATGTATGTTCTATTTAATTTTTAATTATCAAAATACCACTTCAAATTCGAAAAGATATAAGAATCTAGTAGATCTTGACATATGAAAATGAAAAAACAAAGAGATTGGCGAATTTTAATAACACTTGATAAGAAAGTGATCATACAACACATTATTAAAAGTTAATAAAAATGGAGCACTTTATATTCTATTAAATATTACTTCCCATAAGAGAATCCTAAATATTTCTAGATATTTTTAAAAAGAAATTCTATATAAAGTGTTAAAAATATATATAAAAATTTTATATTTATATGTTGGGTTGGTATGATTTTTTTATTTAATACCAAATCAAAGTGACTTTTCTTTGTTTTTCCCAATGAGAGACTCTTTGCAAGCATAAAGGTCACATAGGAGTAATTAAGATTCCAGCTGAAATACAACATTAATTTTCAGTCAGACTCAGACCTCAAGTAGGTACGTGCAACTGGACTGGTTTGCCAACTTTATCATCTTCAAATATTCGATCGCAACTTCCTTTTTGACCAACTCACCTCTCCCCATTGCATCTAAGGATATAAAGAAGGTTTCTTTGTCATCCTTAGCTTTTCACCCTTTTGTCGTTCTTTTGTTCTTTTCTTTTTGTTAATAATAGTAAGTTGTTATTTTATTTTTCGATTATATATCATATCGAACTTCAACTTAACCTAATCATCAAAAATATCACTATCGATGTTTTTCTCTCATGTTTACCAATTTGCATTTTAAGTTTAACCTTAGTACCTTACCTTATGGTGGTCAGGTCAAGTCCAATGCGCACAAGTGGGGAATTCAAAAAAGATACTCCAAGGAAATAGATAGCTACGCTTAGCTTCCCTTTAATTTGTTGCTTTCTTGTTTTCTTTTTTCCTTCTTTTCTCTCTCGGTGTTTTATGGAAGGTTCTCCACTTCTTGGCTTTTCCCAGAGGCTTTTAACTTGAGTTTGGATTAGAAAATAATTTTGTTTGAGTTGCTTTTGTTTTTTCTTTTAATTCTGGTGTTTTTTTTTTGCGAGTGTTTGAACGTGAAGTTTATTTTCACCACTTGAGTGTTCGATCGACATGTGATCCTTTGTTCTTGAATGAAAAACAAGAATGCGATGTTTTTCGTTATATATACTACGTATTTAATATGAAAAACGAGCTTCTTCTCTAAAAAATAATAAAATGAAAAGTAAACAATATTTTAAATGAGCTTGGGTCAGAAGAAGCAATACATGTACTCGAAATCAACATGCATCCATGGAAAGGTGAAAGGCCGCATTACGTTATATGAAATGACTAAGTAATCTTTTAGGATAATATGAACTAGTCCGTCCATCCTAAAAAGAATAATGAGATATGGTATATCATGTTCAAGCTAAGTATTTTTTTTCCTGAATAAAATTTTATACATTCCTATATATTTTCGAAAATGTATTAATTGCATATGTTCTAACTTGTTTAATTTGGCTAATTTTTGGCTGGACAAGAAGTTCAAAATAAAAATAAAAAGAAGAAGAATTATTTTCGTGAGGAAGTATATATACATAAAATTTCTTCCCCATCCCTCCTTTCCAAAAGATAATTCCTTAGTCTGCTACTTCAAGAAAAGGTCATCAAATGCTCGTAGTATGAGAATCTTAATTAATTAAGGTTTGATTAACATTACGCAAATATTAGGGAAAAAAAAGGAGCCTGAAAACAGACATAAAGGGAATTTCTTAGACTTTCCAAAACTGGTTAATTAATTAATGGAGTTCCAGTTATCCATGTACGACATATATATGCTTGTGTAATTTGGTCTCCCAATGTATACGAATAACTTTTACAAAGCCGAAGAATTACATGCCGACATTCGCAAACTACTCATATGCAGCAGCAGCAGCAGCAGATTTACGAATAAAACTGCTCTAACTTTGGGCTTAATTCACCGACCATAGTATTTCTCCGACCATTATATTGCTGTTCACAATCTGATCACTAGGAAAAAGATTAAAATATTTACCCTAACAATGTAAAGAATTTTTACATAATTTAAATTGTCATAGTGACAGATTATCTCTGCTTATTTTTCTGATCAATTATTCTGTGTTATCACATGTATAATTTATTAATTTACCCGATGGTGTAAAAATAATGTACATTGTCAATATTACACAAAACTTAGATGTTCTCTACACAAAAATAGTGTCTGCCTCTTAACAATGACTATTTTAAATATGCAATCTGAAAAATCCATTTTGATAATCAATGTCAAGTAATTTTGATATGCAGATAATGCAATGCAAGCAAATTTTAATAATCACCTTATAAATTCTAATAATATATCTTTCTTTTTTGTGAACACATATATTAACTATACATTGACCAAAAAATACTCCACGTTGCCAAAGAATCCTCAATATTCTTGCTTCACCTAATTTACAGAGTGCCATACGCTTCTGAACCTCTATAAAAGGAGCTCCAAAGTCCCAAATTAGGAATCACCACAACTAGAAACAGAGAACCAAATTACAATACATAATATATACTCCCTAGCTAGCATCCTCTGAAAAAAATGGTGGCTGCTATTTCTTATGATCCAAGGCAAAATCTCAACGTAAGAAAAGACCATCTTCAACAACATGGAGTAGTTGTACTCGAAGAAATTGATGGTCTTATAAAAGTTTACAACAATGGCCACATCGAAAGACCACAAATTGTCCCAAATGTCCCACATTATTCTCTGCCTCAAGAACTCAGCGTCACAGCCAAAGATGTCATTTTACACAATCCAACCAATTTATGGTCGCGAATTTACCTTCCCAATACCTTAATCCCTGCTACAAAACTGCCTTTACTTGTTTATTTTCATGGAGGTGGTTTCTGTGTAGGCTCTGTTGCATGGAAATGTTACCATGATTTCTTAGCAAATCTTGCTTCAAAAATTGGCTGTGTAATTATGTCAGTTAATTATCGTTTAGCACCAGAAAATCGTCTTCCTGCTGCTTATGACGATGGAGTCCACGCTATAACGTGGCTAAAAAATCAAGCACTAGCCAATTCTAAAGAACAAAATTGGTGGTCAAGCAAATGCAATTTTTCCAACTTGTTCCTTAGCGGTGACAGTGCTGGTGCTAATATTGCTTATCACGTTGCCACTAGGCTCAATTCATATAATCTCAAGCCA